TTACACCACAGAAATGGGCAGATGCTACAAATTAGGGCCATTTTAAAAAAGTGGTTGGTTATAAACATTACAGAGGTCAGTGGGTTTCCATAGAGTAGTGTTTCTGAAACTTTAACATGGCAACTCAGCAAACATAGTTTTCCTGAAACACACACACACACACACACACACACACACACACAGAATAGTGTTTAGGAGCAGTACCTACACCTTGCCATGTGGGTGCATTCTAATCTCAGCCCTTCTCTTTTCGTTAAAAAGAAAATAATGCTGTTTATATCTCACTAAACTGATGTTATGACCTGCAGTTTGCAAAGTATTGTTTTACAGACAACTAGAGGTTTTATATGCATTTCAAAGTCAAGAGACTTGCCCTTGGCCATGGGGGAGACTCATTTTCTGTGGTTGGAAGCCTGACTTGGAGAAGATCAGCTTTTCAGAAGAAAGCAGAAGGAAACTGGGCACATTAGGAAAAAGCTAAAAATTGGATTACTTTGTATCTTTTAAAATGCTTTTATTTAGTTAGTAAAAATGCACTTTCTGAGAGCTGGTGTTATTCCTGCAAACCGAAAGAGCACTTATGCCCCTTGTCGAGGGTCACCCCGCTTTGAGTGGCAGACTTGGACCTTGGACTCTGGGGCTGCCTCCTGTTGCATGTGGACAGTGTAAGGGTGGCCGGAGATCTTGGCCTGGGCCAGGCCGGCAGGGCTCCAAGCAAGCCTGTCACAGGCCAGGTGTGCTCACTGCCGAGTGCTCTTTGTGGCCTGAAGCCGGCTTGGCAGTTACCTGTAACCTGATCAGTTTAGATGGCCAGTCCAGGTAAATGAGTCCCCAAACCCCACTCTGAGTGACCTGTAATAACATATCGAATGGACAGTCCTCAAGGCGTTCTGTCCAGTGTCCTCTATGAGAGCAGACTGGGGCCTGCCCGGGTAATGCCTCCCAATGGGTCAGTCCTGACAGGAAAAGCAGGGCGGGTTTGAAGGGGAACCTGAGGGTCAGAGCCACAGAGGCTGTGGGATCGTGGACCTGAGAGGCCAGTGCTGGGCCTCAGGATCTGGACAGACAGCAGTGGGGAGTTACGAGGTGGGCCAGGCCAGGCTGAGGCATCAGGTGCTGCACTGGGTTGGGGGTTCAGGGGAGAAACCCCTGCAGGCCCGGGAGCTGGTGTTAATCAGACAGGGTTTGGTGGGCCATGGGGGCTCCGGGGAAGGCGGGAGTGGGTGTTTGTCATGTCTAAAGTTAAAGGTACAGGTGATCCAGAGAAATCAGGTGTGCTTGGAGCACTCGAGTTTTGTTTCTTTCATTGTCTGCTTTGACTTTGTGGCTTGTGGATTGTGAGCTGTTCCTCTTAGAGTCCCACGTGTGCCTGACACTCAGCTATTCATATCGCCAGCAGACCTCATGTTTTTTAACTAGAACCTTTATATTTTTCATCTTGCGATTTTGTAGGTAAGAGAAAGGAATTCTGTTTATGATCCTGGGTGTCATTTCTATAAACCACCCTTTATCCAGGGATGTTGGACTCTGCCCAAGAGAAGCCGTTCCATATGGAAATTTTCTTAATGAATCCGGGCATATCTTGTTACATTTTGCCCCCAGATGCCTCGGATGAATTAGAGGAAGACAGTTGCTGTCCATGTGGTGATTTTTAGAGATTTAAAAGAGGACAGTGTGCTAGGTTTTCTAACAGATTCAGAAACTCTGTGGTTCTGAATATTAATACCAACACGGTCAAAAAGTACGTATTGGACAGGAAAGCACATTTTGATATTTGAGTGCAAGAGGACTTTCTGTGTTTCCCAGCGTTGCCATCAACTGGAATCTGCATTTCCTCTTTTATTCATTCAATAAATATTCAACGCTCATTATGTTCACGGCATCACCTTAGACTCCAGGGGAGTTACAACTAACCTAGAAGACTGGTCCCTGCCCTCGAGGAGAAAATAGAAGAAATAATTACATCTGATTGTTTTTAACAGAGTAGCGCTAATCCCAGCTTGGGAACGTCGTGGTCACCAGGGAGGATAGTGGGTGTAAGGGGACCGCGAGGCCAGCGCCCTTGTGGCCACGGAGCGTGGAGCCCTTCTCTCCTTCCTGTTCTCACTCCCCCCCTCGGGGTTTGTGGACCAGAGCCGCCCAGGGAGCTGGCGCAGGTCCCCCTGGCCCATGGGGATTGTTCTCTGATGGTTTGTGATCTGACTAAGTACAATGTTTTTTCTTTTCTTTAGATTTTCTTACAATGCCAGGTACTGTTCATTTCCACGCACAACTGAGACCTCCTAAATTATGGCCTTCATAGACGAAAATGAGCACTCCCAGCATTTCCTGGGAGGGCCTGGGTCAGCTTTCTGCCTGCAGTACCCCAGAGCAGCTGCCAGACTCACAGACAGTGGCCATCCCACCCGAGACCGGGAGGCCTGGGAAGGAGGGTGGGCCAGGCTCTAGGTGCTGTCTGAGCCTGAGCAGGTACTCAATAAAGGCTCCTTGACCGAGTGAGGACATCATGGCCAAACTGTGGGAGCCAAAAGATTAGGCCTCAGCACTGCTGGAGGAAGGTGTCACATATAGGAGGGTAGGTGGTGGGCGGGGGAGGGT